TCATATCGTTAATACACTATTTATTAAATTTGACCGAAAATTATATAAAGGCCTAAAATATTCTAAAGCCAAAAAAAAAAAAAAGGCTTAAGTATTGAAAAAGGACCCTAACTTTTATTAAATTCGTAATTGAGGTCCTCAACATTTATTGCACTCAATTAAGGTCTTAAACTCACACAAGCTCTCAAATTAGGACCCAATTGGATGGAATCTTAACATCCGTCAATTCTCACTTGACTGTCCATTGCGATCTGTTACCCCCTCAGTACGTGGCATGCCAATTGGAACCATAAAGTTGACTATAAAAAATATTTTCCAACATGGCATATGGGGCGGGATCTTTCCCTCTGCATAACAGGTGGTCCCACAAGACTCCTTTTCCCAGACTCTTTTTTTATTTTTGACTATTCAACACCTTTTTAATATAATATAATTCGTAAATTCAGAGACTTCATCCGCAACGTGAAAAAATTGCGAGGCTTAAACCCAAAGAACTTCTGTGGAGCCGATATCTACAACAGCATTATGATCCGTTACGTCAAGGCTTCGCTGACATACCGAGCCAACCAGAGGATTCTGTGGTGATCGATTTCAACTATTACCGCGTCGACAATGCTTCCACCGCGAGGCTAAATGAAGACATCTGGGAAGAAATCGAGCAAATGGCATTCTTCAAGTATGGCGTGCAGCCACATTGGGCAAAGAATAGGAATCTTGGGTTCTTGGGAGTGCAGAGTAATTACCCAAACTTCAACAAATTCATTGCGGAGAAGAAACAATTAGACCCGCAAGGCATATTCTCTAGCAAATGGTCGAATCATATACTATTGGGAAGCAAAGCTATTGATAAAGGCAACGGGTGTGCACTAGAAGGACAGTGCATTTGCTCGGAGGACAAACATTGCAATCCGAGCACAAGGTACCTCTGCAAAGAAGGTCTTGTTTACAAGGAAGCCAAAGTCTGTGGATATTCGTCATCCTCCATTGTGTAACAATTATATGACACCACCGAACTCCATCTCGCCACCAAGAACAGCCCCAAAACAGAGTGGCTCAAGGTTAGCAAAACCCAAAAACAAAAAAGAAGAAGTCTTCCATAATTTTGAGGGAATTCAGTTGCAATGGAAGTATGTCTGCATAGAGCCTTTGAAGATCTTGCAGGGAGAAAGACAGGCTGTTGGGCGGAGAAGTTCCAAGGATTGGGTAGGCTGCTATTGGGTGGAGAAGAAGATCTTGCATGGAGAGAGGCAGATTGAAAATTCTAGGGATCTCACCCCCAAATCGTGAAATAGGAAAGAAGAAGAGAGATGGGAGAAAAAGGAGCCATGGGTCACACATGCCACGTAGGAATGTAAATTTTTACAATCAGCCTTATGGGTCTAGTTGGCATGCCACGTATTGAGGGAGTAATAGACTGCAACGGACAGCTAAGTGAGAATTGACGGATGTTAAGATTCCATCCAATTGGGTCCTAATTTCAGAGTTTGTGTGAGTTCAAAACCTTAATTGAGTGCAATAAATGTTGAGGACCTCAATTAAGAATTTAGTAAAACTTAGGGTCCTTTTTCAATACTTAAGCCAAAAAAAAAAGTCTAAACCCTTCGCCGACAGCTTATGGCTAGGCTACTGTTGTAGAAAGTACTTTTTTTAATATTTAAATGATAAATTATATAAAAAAATATAATATTTTACCATTTTAAATATCTTTTTAATTGATTTAAAGTTTAAATTTAATATTTTAAGTAAAAATTTTGACCTCTTAATTAAATAAATTAAACTTTGAGATAGCACTTATACTCATGGTCCAACGATGATAAGTCGACTTGTAAGGTATATCCCAACTTGAGGGTTGGGATTCAATTCTCCCTCTCAAAATTATATCCTTGTTAAAAAATAAATAAATAAATAAACTTTCACGTATTATAAAACTTACTAGATGATAATAGCCCATCTTTAGTACTTACAGAAACTTGTAGCCACTAAATCATCCGACATTTTCATTCTCTTGGAGTAGAACTAAGGCTAACCATATAAAGCAACTTAATGACAATTTAGTACTTGTTAAAAAAAAAAAAAAGGAGCTTAATGACAGAAACCAAGCAGTGAAAAGGCGGACCAACCATGAGGGTTTTTAGTCTGTATAGCATTGGAGGCTTAACTTTCTCAACAGTAGCCTAAACAAATACAAGTTAAAAATGACACCAAGACCACAAATCATCCAAACGCTAGATTCATTGACTAATTCACTCACACCTTACCGAAAATAGACTAAACTAAAAACAAAAACTAAATTATTAAGCAACCAAATGAAGATTCCGCTCAAGAAAACAGAATTAATACCATTAATATTCCTTTAGAAATTTACCAAGACATTCTCATCAAAATGAAATCTCCCCAAATGTGATCTTGGTTTAGTGTTTCTTTGTTTTTTTATTTTTTTTATTCGAGTTCTCATCTCAATGGTTACATATAGAAGGCTAGAAGAAAATTTAACTAGACAAAAAGCTTTATTAAAATGTTCATCAGGTTATATTGTCGACTGCCACGAAAAGTTATAGCTGAGTAATTAAAAGCAATTTATAATTTTTCTAATAGATGTATTTTAGCTTCTAAAGTGATCATCGAAATTTAGCTCTAAATATATTATTTTTGAACTAGATTTTTTTCTATTAAACTTTTTTTATATCATTTTTATGAAATCATAATTCAATATCTTTTATAGAAAAATGAGAATAATACATATCATTTTTTATTTTATGGAGTCTCAATTCAAAAATACTATTATTCAATAAATATTTTAAAGAATTAATTATTGAATTTAATTTGAATGTAAATCATACATACTAATTTTTGAGTTAATTTAACAATTATAATCAACCAATAAATTAATTATTTTTAACATATATTTAATTATATTAATTGTTGTATGATGAATCAACCAGTTATATATATTCAATAAATAAAAAATTAGCATTTAAGTCTACATATAAATAAAATATTAAATTAAATATTAATTTTTTTAAAACATTTATTAAAAATAATAATTTTAAATTAAAACTCTGAAAGTAAAGACTGATATATGCTATTGAACTAAAAATATTTACCAGGTGGATAAGTTGGCTACAGCCTGACTCACCTTTTTGCAAGTTAAATACAGATGGCTCTAGAGAGCAAGTTTCTGGGTTGGCAAGTGCTGGGGGTGTTCTTCGGGATTCAACAGGTGCTTGGTTTAATTTAATTTTTAGTTTATTAACTATCACCTTGATTTCATTTTAGTCTAGAAACTATATTTTATTTCTAAGTGGTCTATTAACTTTCAGATTCATTTCAATTTCGTCTACTTGGTCAAATATAATGGAAAACTTCCTATTCTTTATAGAACAGTTAGTCCTCTAACTATATTTTTTTTATCTTTTAGTCCTTAAATTTATATTTGTTATAAAAATAGTTTTTTTACTTAAAATTATTATTTATAGGCTCTGATACCAAATTTTTATACGGGTTTTCCTATTTCTTTAATTTAGTATTAGAGCCCGAAAGTTAATAAACCACTTAGAAATAATAATTTTAAGTATAAAAATCTGATATCAGAGCCTA